GCTACCTAGTATGTTAATAATATTAATAACAAAATAAGTAATTAATCTATTTTGTTATCGTCATATTTCTAAGGCTCATCAACTTAAATTTTAGTAATATTTTAGGTGATACATAATATGTTAATAATATTGATAACAAATTAAGTAATTAATCTATTTTGTTATCGTCAGATTTCTAAGGCCCCATCAACTTTAAACAGACACTACCTATTACATTAAATAAGCGTTACCTATTATGTTATTATAGTTGATAATGTTTCTAATAATTAACCGGTTATGTTAAATTCAATATTTTTTTTGCTTATTTTACATACGACGATAATATTTCCTGTTATTACTATTATTATTACCAACACAAATAACATTTTCAGTAAAAACATATAACGTTTTTAACCGATCACTTATTTAACTAATCACGTCATTTGTTAACCGTAATTTAACCATCTCACAACAAAACTTCCCTCCCAATGTCCTATCTAAATAACTTAGATCAATCTATATCACGTCAATTTCTCTTTCTATTCTTTTTATTTCCCTAAAAAAATACTATCTGTAATAGTATAATTATAAAAGTATTAAGTTTTTTTATTCAAATATCATTTTTAAAGTACAAACCAAACAACCTTAATAATAATAATAAATAATATTTTTCGAGGTCTTGAATTTGAGCATTAGGAACATTAGAAAAATGAATGTCTCATATTAAACGGTTAAAAGTCGTATTTAAACATATATTACATTGTACTTACCATAAATTAATTGAAAACAATTATTCTTAAAAGATTAATATTCATTTCAAATTATTTTTTGAATTGATATCTTTTTATACCATATAAGCTTATGACGTTATGATTCACTTATATTAATTATTATAAGACATTTTGAGTAAAAAATAGTTTTTTTTAAAACACATAATCTTTTTTTGAAAAAAAGAAGAGTTTTATATTGTATTGAATAACATGCACATACAAAACAGGAAAACAAAGACCATGACCTCGTTAAAAAAAGAGGCCTCGTTAAAACACGATATTTTACTTATTCCGTGAATTGAAAACGACGCATGACTCCTCTTTCTGGATTCAATTTCTGCTTCGATCGATCGATTCGGGTGGAAGATATTATCAGGTGGAAAATTTAACTAGGACAACATATTTGTTAAAAGATAACACATGTATGTGTCGGCTCAACAAGAGAAAAAAAACATGTATAATTTACCGGATATTTACTAAGAAAACATTATTATTTTTAAAATTGAAACGTCGGCTGTTTTATTAAATAAGTATTGTTCATAAAATATTCAATCTTGTCACTTTAAATTATTTGAAAAAAATACCAATTATTTGGAAATCTTAGGGGTTTTATACAGTGGACTTAAAAATTTGTTTTTAATATGTATAGCGTTATGGTTAATAAATCACATATTTTATTATAAAAGTAACATTTAATTCCAAAATTAAAATTTTTATCAAGTCTAATCTATAAATGATATACTATGTGATATACTATGTGATAGATAAATTGGAAGTTTAAATGTATAAACTGAAGTGGAGAAGTGGCAAAGTTGTTGGATTTTAATCAAAAATTTGACTGCAAACACAGAGTTGTCATACCGAACAAAATTGTATTCCATAAAGCACTCCAAGTGTTTCAAGATAAGACGTACCAAATCTTAATTTTTTTTATTGATCTCCCGATTCCATATTTTGATTTTGACAAATTCAGATCGATTTATATTGTACAACTATTTTTTATTGGTGAATTTTTTAATAGGAATTTTTTATATACATAATGATTCAAACTCGAAACTTTACTTAAATAATATTAAACTGCTTACCACTTTAATCAACCTTACACTAAATCTTAATTTCAAACTTAGAATGCTACGTCTCAAAAGAGATGTGTATTTGATTAGAATTTGACGTGTTTTGATATAATATAACTTAATTATATTAGTTAAAAAAAATAGAATTGGGTTGAGTTAGATTAATTTTTTAAGATAGTGGATTTGAGTTATATTCATATTTAAGGTGAAAAAATTCGTTATAATTCGATACGAAATAATATCTTTTATATTTAAAGATGATTATAATAATATCTTATTTTCATTGTTTTTTAAATAAATTATTATTTTACCTAGTAAATATATATACATTTGAGTTGGATCCTGTCGAGTGTAAATTTTGACATTTTTTAAGACGCTTAGGTAATGTCCTTTAAAGTCACGTCAAGTTGAATTCATGGTAGATAAATTTAATTTTTGGGGTGAATGGACCAAATATTCAACCGACCATTTATATATGTCAACGCCTTTAAAAGATAATATCAATAAATTTAGAATTTCTTTTATTTATTATTTAATGAAAATATTTGATATATAAAACTTCAGGTCTGTGTCCTCAAATTATGATTCTCGTATTACTTTAACTTTCAAACATTTAAATATTTTAACTTTCATTTCATATTATAAATCTCATTTTAAATTAACTGCCAAAATTTTGAATTATGTTAATTTCATCCATAAACTATTAATATATGCTAATCGTTTTCATCGTGGGCAGAATTGTTGATAAAATTTCTTAATTACTATGTAACACTGTTGAATATTATGTAATAATATGATGTAATATAAATGATATTTGATTTTGAATTTAAATTAAATAACGATTTAATTTTGAAATATATAAAGAATTATAAACAATTTAAGAAGACAAAAATAAAAAAACCTTTCAATTTTATTCTAAAAATTATTTCGAATGACACAATACAATATTAATTATTTATATCATATTATTTATTAATATTCATCAATGTTTAAATCTGTAAATTTATATATAAATCTCAATTGGATGTTAGGTATGTCCTGACCGTGGACTAGGGGAGTCACCCTTGACCTAAATTTTTTTGTACCAAAAGAATCAATGTTTAAATAATAATTAATAATTTTTAATAATTTTACAACATAAAATATGATTAGTAAATACATGCTTAAAATAAAAATAAAAATAAAAAGGAAAATATGAAAGCCTGTGAGAAATTTCAGAAAGTTAGAATATTTCAGTAAGATCAATTATGAGATTCCTAGATGATTATATATATATATATATATATATATCAACCCAAATAATGTATTTTCTACGTTCTAATTGAATGGACCCACTGAAAAGATTTAATTAGTGGCGGATCCAGAAATTTAAGAATGAGTCTAAAATTTTAATTTTTTTTTCTTAAAAATAATGGGTATGCAAAAATTTTAAATTTTTTTCTTTTTTCCTAAACACATTAAACTAAATTTAACCACATTTCCAAAATAATGTGATGCATTTGGCCCCTAGGGGGCTTAGTGCATCCGCCACCGGATGTAATCCGTCATCGAATTTAAATCTCATGGGCCAACTTATAATTTCCCTAACAATTTTTACCTCTAATAGTGCATTTTCATGGACTGGAATGACCTAACCCTTAAAAAATAAAATGTTCTTTTAAATATTTTTGAAAAGTAAAAATTTAAAATTTAAATGTTTAGTATCATTGTTAAAATATGATTTTTAAGGATAAAAGCACAATATAGGTGTGTGTATAATTAGGTGCAAAGGTAGAAATCCAATTTAGGTGGGTTTAAATTGGATTTCTAAGTTTTAGAAGGGTTAAAGTATAATTTTATTATTGTATTAATTCATAATTTTAAAACTTTTAAAGGGATAAAAGAAATTTTTAATTACAATTTTTTCTCAATCTTTTATATCAATAAGATTTGAACTCAAAATCTTATTCAGAAAATATCAAACTCGTTATCATTTGATATAAGCAATAATAATTATTTTGAAGTATACCGCGCTTCTATCATTTGTATGAAAAAATATACATATCTTTTTTTACTAGAAATATATTAGATTTCGAAAACAAATATCAAAACTCGAATTCACATATTGTTTAAATTTTTTTTATCAAATTTAATATGTGATATATAGCAACATCAATGAATGAATGGTATGATGGAAAAATAGCATGTTAAAGTCAAAGTGTTCATATGGGTATAGAGTGCTAAGATGAGCAATCCTTTCTAATTCTTGAGTGTAACCAAACTTTATCCCTGTGGGATTGATAGCACTTCTCATATGAATAATTGAACCTAAATGAAAGATGGTAAATTTTTTTTATAGGGATGAAGTAGTTGTCTAAATTTGAATTTGAGACACGTGGCAATTATAATTAAATATTTTTTTTTGAGAAAATCTTTAATTTTAGTTTGATTATTTTTTTCTGGTTGAATCACTGTTTCAAATATAATTAAATATTTTTTTTTGAGAAAATCAATATATATATAAAATTAAAATCTGCTTCAATTGGTTGAACATTAGGTATCGACTTTGCTTTTTTTTTTTGGTTACAAGTATTGACTTTGCTTTGCGACTTGTTAACTGTTTATATGATTTACACGACTTTTAATCTAATATCATCGATTCAATTAATTAGATCATTTTTTATATAATTATTTAATTCAATTCGATTTGGTTCTAAAAACATGATAACACGTAATTCAATAATCTAATTGAATTGACAGAAATAATATCTAACTACCATTTAGTAATGATATATTCGGTTTTGTTCGATTTATTGTTTTAATAAAAAACTAACTACAATGCACTATGTTAATTTTTAAAATGAAATATAAATCGAATTATATAGAAATAAAAAAATTTGGTGTGGCTTAGTTCGATTTTGCAATTTTTTCAAATTTAACATCCGAAAAAAAGTAAATTTCAGGCTTAAATATAGTAACAAACACACAAATTTAAATTCACAAAAATAATATTATTAATTTTAAGATTTTATTTATTTAAATAGAAACAAAGGGTATGCAATTGGGCCTATAAGTTGCCCACCTGAACTGAAACAGGCAAAGGTGCAAGTTGGACTTTCACAGTGATCCCCTAATCATTTCATGCAAATATTAGAATCTTCTCTTGTTTAAATTTAAACTGGAAGACAAAAACGAAAAATGTAATTCATTCATCAAGCGTTCAAGTGGGGAACTCTTTCTCTAATAAACAATCATCTGACACTTTCTCTGTGAAAACCCTTTGCCCTTTTTCCAATTTCTTCTTTGTATTTGTTTCATGGTATACAGAGGAAAGACAGCCCAAAGGGGAAAAAGAAAAAAAGTAATGGCGGTCGTATATGTTCATTGATTGGTGGAGCAATATCAAAGCAATAGAGGGAAAAAAGAGAGGGAAAGGTGAAGAAAGCAAACAGCGAAGGCAAAGAGCAGTAAACAGTTCAAGTAGTCAGCAGCACGAAACTCTTTCCTCTTTCCTTTCATTTCCTTTTTTTTCCTCTTCCCGTTACACATCACCTAGTGAAAAATCTCTGTAAAACATATATTCTTCTGAACCAAAACTAATATATAAATGCCCAATACTTCCTATAAAACACTTAGACTGTACAAAGGAGAGTGCCCCAAATGCAAAAATAGTAGATGTGCTTGTATTTGTGATTTGTGAGTGAGAATAAAGATCTGGGCTTTTTCTTTTGTTTTCAAAAAAAGGAACTTGGTGGTGAAATCTGTTGGGTGTTTTTGGTTGCTGGGGGTTAGTGGTTTACAAGCTTCGAGGAACTCAAGGAGATAAAAGCTGTTGTTTTGTTGTCACACTTTAAGGATCAATAGTCTCTGTTTTTTTGGGAGCTGAAATGTGGGGTTAAAGTGCTGGAAACATAGAAAAAGAGAAGACTATGTTGTTTTAACATTAAGGTTCTGGATCAAGAGAAAGAGCACTTGGTTATTTTCTTTTGGGTGGGGAAGAAGAAGATAGGAGGCGGATGAGGCTGAAAGCGATTGTCTTTTGTAGTAAAACCGGTTTCGGTTGAATAAAAAAGACAACTGTTGGGGCTGTGTTCTTTGTTCTGTTTTTTTAAAGCCTTTTGCTCTATTGGAGTAAAAAGAAAGGTTTTGGAGGGCTTTGGTCTGGTTAAAGGAGGGGTTTTGGGGAGGTGATCCTTTTTTCTCTTGAGGGTCGAAACTTATCTAGAAAAGAAAAATGAGACTTTCTTCAGCAGGTTTCAATCCACAACCTCAGGAAGGCATGCTACTTCTTTTTGTTCTCTGTGTGTGTGTGTGTGTGTGTGTGTGTGAAGTATTAGATTGAGTTTCTTGGGAGAGATGAAGTTGAAATTATCATATGGATGTTGATATTTGGGTTGCAATTGGCTTTGTTTTCTGGCCTTAGAAAATGCAGGAGAAGCTGAAATCTTAAAATGTTAAATCCCAGATCAGTAATCTCAGTTTATTTGGATTTTCAATTATTGGTTTGTTGAAGTTGATTTTATTAATCTATTTAAAAAAATCTGGGGTGAATATTTTTGACACTTAATTCTACCTTAACCTCATTACCCTTTTATCTATGTCAAACCAAGGGTTTAATATGTTACATCTTACTGAATTTGTGGATTTATTTCTTGCGCTCTTCTCAAGCCTTTTTTGGAGCTTAAAGCAACCCAAATTTGTTGGAAGTTTGGATTTTCTTTCTCTGAATAATCCTCATGCTTTTAGATTACATGTTTAGTTTACTGATTCTTTTTCCGCCCTCATTTTTTTTTTTATAAATATTGTCAGTTTGTTTATTATTTTTCTCTTTTAATTTTGCTGAGCTGGTTTTGAATTAATGCAAAAACAGATCCCGCAGGGGAAAAGAGAGTGTTGAACTCTGAGCTTTGGCATGCATGTGCGGGGCCTCTTGTTTCTCTACCTCTTGTTGGAAGTAGGGTTGTTTATTTCCCACAGGGCCACAGTGAACAGGTTGGTATCCTTGAACTTCAACTTATCTTCTTCTTTGGTAAGGGATTTTTGAACCATATGTTCTTAATTGCTGATGGTGTGTACGGATCAAGTTGCATTTGCTTTATGAAGAATAAATCATAAATATTGTTTCACCGTCTTTTCCGAGGGAAAAGTGAAAAAGTTATTTGTAGGCATATCATCATTCCTGCCCCTTTTCCTTTATGGGATATTGAAAGAATGTGAAATATTGACAGTGTGATCTTTAAATGTGTCTTCTTTTAGCACCAAATACTATTTTACAGTATGAACATTTGTTTGACATGAGCATCCCAGCTTGACTCCAAGTCTCCCATAATTGATTCTCCCGCAGATCTATGGTGGACATGCATTATACTGTATTTATAATTGAAAATCCCTGGGAAAGTCGGATTCTTTACCCCCGTTTTTGCAACCCACCTACTGTTTTATAATTGAAAATCCCTGGGAAAGTCGGATTCTTTACCCCCGTTTTTGCAACCCACCATGTTACGGGAGACCATAATTGACCCACGATTACTGTGGAAAACATGGTTTGTTGTATATGGTGGGAACCATTCGATGTTTTCTGTTAAGTGCTTGCATGGTCATGGATCATAGGGAATTTTATGTCGATTCCTGTTTATGTTGTGTTTTGCTCTCGGCTTGACTGTAACCAAGTCTGTGACATCTTCGAACATGCTAGTTGATGTTATCATTTTGGATCCTTTTGTTTATCGTGCTTCATTGTACTTGATTAGACTCGTATTCAGTAGCCAAGCATTTAGTGGGTTTTCTTTGTAGGTAGCTGCAACAACCAATAAGGAAGTAAATGCCCACATACCAAACTACCCGAGCTTACCCCCGCAACTTCTTTGTCAGCTTCATAATGTTACCATGCATGTAAGTATCGTTTTAATTTGCTTTTCTGTTGCTGTCTTCCATTGGACTTGTTTCTGAAGCCTCAAAATTTGTCAACAGGCAGATGTTGAAACGGATGAAGTATATGCACAAATGACCTTGCAACCATTGACTCCGGTATGCTGTTTTCTAATGGGTTTCTTTTGAGTTATTAAGTCTTATTGATTGTTTCAAGTATTGAAGACTAGTTGCTCTACAGCAAGAACAAAAGGAGGCTTATCTACCCGCAGAATTGGGCACTCCCAGCAAACAGCCAACAAATTATTTCTGCAAAACGTTAACAGCCAGTGACACAAGTACTCATGGAGGGTTCTCTGTTCCTCGCCGCGCAGCTGAAAAAGTGTTTCCTCCACTGGTATGCTGTTGTTACACTAGTGTTGATACGCGTTTGTTCTTTTAGTTGCAATGATTTATTCCTAATTTTATGCCATTAATTACTTTCAGGACTTCTCCCAGCAGCCTCCAGCTCAAGAGTTGATTGCAAGGGACTTGCATGATAATGAATGGAAATTTAGGCATATATTTCGGGGTGAGCTTATTAAGAATCCCTTTTCCTCTTAAAATATGAATAATTTTTTTCTGCAGTTCCTTCATACTCCTTAACTAACAGTCATTGACTTGTTCCTATGCAGGCCAGCCCAAAAGGCACCTCTTGACAACAGGATGGAGTGTATTTGTAAGTGCTAAAAGACTAGTTGCGGGTGATTCAGTGCTTTTTATCTGGTAGGTTGCTGGCTTGTCTTTCATTTTAGCTGGCTTCGTTCCCATTTTTTCTCCTCACCTGGTATAAGAAGATGCAGACATGAGAATGTTATCTCTCTGGATTTTTTTGCATTTCCTACTTCGGTTCTCTAAAATGAAAATTGCTGTAGATTGTTGGTATGTTGATGCTCAAACCAGCATATGGGTTATATTTACAGGAATGAAAAAAATCAATTACTTCTTGGAATCCGACGAGCTAATCGACCTCAAACTGTAATGCCTTCTTCAGTCTTATCAAGCGATAGCATGCACTTAGGGCTTCTTGCTGCTGCTGCTCATGCAGCTGCGACAAATAGTCGGTTCACTATATTTTATAACCCAAGGTATGATGCTACTGCTTTGCCTTCTCAGATTGTCAATATTTGCTATGTTCTGATTATTGATTCCACAACCAATCTAAATTTATTCCTGTTCAATCCAGGGCTACTCCATCAGAATTTGTCATACCTATCTCAAAATATATCAAAGCTGTCTATCATACTCGAGTGTCTGTTGGTATGCGTTTTAGAATGCTGTTTGAAACAGAAGAATCAAGTGTTCGTCGGTAAGCTTCATTCTTTTCTTGGCTTTTAACAGTTGATTCTCCTAACTGTTTAAAATAGTTTTCCTTACAAAAGGACTAGAATTAACTATGGACTAATGCCCGACTGGCTTGGTTTTCCTCAAAAAGGATTAAATTGCAATTTTACTAAGATATTCTGTTCCATTTATGCTCTTTTATAATGCATTTTTCAATGATTCTTTGCCTTGTGTCCCATCTCTTTGTTTACTTGTGAACATCATTTAATTTGTATGTGATGATTGTGTGTTTTCCTAGTTACATGGGGACGATAACTGGCATAAGTGACTTAGATCCTGTTCGGTGGCCAAATTCACATTGGCGATCAGTCAATGTATGTTTAGAATGATTTCTTTGATAATTTGTTTTTTGAGTATTTGCACATTTGTTGATTTAGATTTTCTATCTCCGTGATGATAGTGTTTAACTTATTTGTATAGGTTGGCTGGGATGAATCAACAGCTGGTGAAAGGCAGCCAAGAGTTTCCTTATGGGAGATTGAACCGTTGACATCATTCCCAATGTATCCATCTCCATTTCCATTAAGGCTTAAGCGCCCATGGCTTCCAGGATTACCTTCTTTCAATGGTATGTTAGTCTACTGCTAATTCCATGACTGTATAGTGCCAACGACTCAGTTTTCTCCTCTCTTTTTTAGCATCCTTATTCCTTTTAATATGACCCTTTGTTTATAGGAATCAAGGATGATGATCTAGGCATTAGTTCTATGTGGCTACAAGGAGATGCAGCGCAAGGAATGCAGCATCTGAATTTTCAAGGGATTGGAGTTACACCATGGATGCAGCCAAGGCTAGATGCCTCCATGATGGGTTTGCAAACTGACATGTACCAAGCTATGGCTGCTGCTGCATTGCAAGAGATGAGAACCGTGGATCCTTCCAGATCAGCAACTACTTCCCTTCTGCATTTCCTGCAACCCCAGAATATCTCCTGCAGGCCTGCTGCTCTGATGCAGCCCCAGATGCTGCAGCAGTCTCAACCTCAGGCCGTACTTCCGGATGTTGTTGAAGACAACCAGTCTCAAACTCAGCCACATCTACTTCAGCAACAATTGCAACATCAGAATTCGTTTAGTAACAAACAGCAACAGCAGCAGCAGCATCCATTGTTTAATGGCCAACAACAACATCAGGCCCTGCATCCGCTGTTTACTACAAACCAACAGCAACAGCAGCCACAGCATGCACTGTCACAGCAGCAGCAGCCACAGCATATTTCTAGTGCAGTGTCTGGCATATCGGTGTATGCTTCAGCCTCTCAATCCCAATCATCTCCATTGCAACCCATACCTTCACTATGCCAACAACAGAGCTTTTCTGATTCTATTGGGAACCCTGTGGCCAGCACTGTCGTTTCACCTTTGCATAGTCTTTTGGGTTCCTTCCCCCAAGATGAATCTTCCAATCTGCTCAACTTGCCACAAACTAACCCCGTAGAAACTTCTGCTGCATGGCCATCTAAGTGGGCTGCTGTTGATGTTCTCTCATCCGGGTCTCCACAGTGTGTTCTACCACAGGCGGAACAGTTGGGGCCATCCCAAATGAACATGTCTGGAAACTCTATCTCATTGCCTCCTTTTCCCGGCAGGGAATGCTCGATAGACCAAGGGGGTACAGATCCACAGAGCCATCTCTTATTTGGTATTAATATAGAGCGTTCATCTGTTCTACTGCAGAATGGGATGACAGGCCTTAGGGGAGTTGGCACTGATAGTGATTCCACTTCTCTACCCTTCTTTTCTAATTATATGAGTACTGCAGGGACTGATTTTTTCATTAATCCAGCAATGACACCTTCAAGTTGCATTGATGAATCTGGAATCTTGCAGTCTCAGGAAAATGTGAGCCAAGGAAACCCACAAACTAGAACCTTTGTTAAGGTTAGTTGCATTTACTTTTTTATTTATGCGAGTTCAACCCGGTTTTTGAATGTTGATCGTGTCATTGTTTCAGACGATTATCTTTTATAACTGATGTGAGTGTTTTCACCATGAACAGGTTTATAAATCAGGGTCTTTTGGAAGATCATTGGATATTTCTGCATTCAGCAGCTACAATGAGCTCCGCAGTGAACTTGCCCAAATGTTTGGCCTTGAAGGCCAGTTGGAGGACCCCTTGAGATCAGGCTGGCAGCTTGTATTTGTTGACCGGGAGAATGATGTTCTTCTCCTCGGCGATGACCCCTGGCCGTGAGTTTCCATTCTCATTATTATCAATATTGTTTTTCCTCTACCCTAGATTGCATGTCTGAGTTCATTTAGTGTATATAATTAATTAAAATATCTTTGTTGCATGCATTTAAATCTATTCTGGGGTTTTCCAATGCCGACGTCTTTCACTAATTCCGGATTCGTTTTTTTCATCTACCAGGGAGTTTGTTAACAGTGTCTGGTGTATCAAGATACTTTCCCCGCAGGAAGTGCAGCAAATGGGCAAACGTGGCCTGGAGCTTCTGAACTCCGTGCCAGTTCAGAGGCTCTCAAATGGCAGTTGTGATGATTACATGACCCGACAGGGCTCGAGAAATCTCAGCTCCGGTATCGCCTTTGTTGGTTCTTTGGACTACTGAATGAATTCTAGACCTGTTACAATACTGTTTTTCACCTGTAATAGTACTGTGCCGTGGAAAAAACCTTTTTGTAGGTGGAAACAACTGCCTAACTCTAGCTTTGAAGTTTATATTCATACAAGCCAATAGTGATACTGTAATTATAAAAAAGATCCCTGTATCCTATGTTATTAAAGCAAGCTTAGCTTTTTCCATGTTGATGTTCAACTATTTTTGAAGTTTCCCGAGTTTTGAAAATGCTCATTGAAGAGCGCCATGTGATGGGGTCCATATAGTTAACATCATGTGTCGAAAACCCAGTATCGGAAGCTAATAAGGTTGTCGATGTCAAACATGTAGAGGAGACATGTTCTATCAAACTGTTTGATGAAAGTGAAGACGTGTGTCTCAAAACACATCCTGGAGAAAAATCTAGTATAATCAGGCTTTAACCATCTTTGGAAGCAGAGGACGAAAAGTGAAACCTGTCTGCTGCAATTTCCGTCTCACCAAATTGTGACCATACTTGGTTTCTTAGAGGTGAAAAAACTGGAAAACAATAAGATTAGCAGATGAAGTGGAAGGTTTTCTCAGTAATTTCATTAGAGCCTAACTGATGGGGTCAGGGGGTTTGATGTACGTAGGCCCTTACATGTGAGAGAACAGTCCACAAGGCCAGTTTTCATGGGAATTTCCATCATATCCCAATCTCCAAAATTCAATGAATTTGAGGAGAGGAGAGAATGGGGCAATATTAGTTTAGTTGAAACCCTCCTTTTGGGGGTTGTGGGACTTAATGGCCATTTTTCCGCATGTTGTGTGGGGACCATTTTGACAATGGATAAGGTTAGAGCACCCATCAAAACACTAAATAACAGTACCAAAAAGTTCATAATTGAAGAGGGTACTGGATTTGGTTGGCAATCCATCAATCTCAAAGATGTCCTTAACTTACCCTGCATGGAAAAAGGCTTTTGCTGGACACCATTTTCTTCTGCTGCTAAGCATGTTACGTTACCTACAAGGAATAACAAGGTTCGAATTCGATTTTAGCCATTAGAGGAAGATAGTTTCAGTTTCGAATATATTGTGTTATGTTTTTGTATCGTATCGTATTTTAATTATTTTTCTAATATTAATGTATCAGTTGCATTACTTGTTTAACATTTTCATGCAACAACACAGCATTAGGCCACACCAGTAAATACAACCCTTCTTGACCATTTTTTTTGACATCATTTTTTACCATTGGTAACGAACAGCAAAATGTGAGATGGTACCTTGGCTCAATTTCTATGAGCAATTTTTCTTTTTATGGATTGTTTATGCTAATATTGTTACAACCAACCACAGCACATGAAATGAGACGATGACATTCTTCCGGCTCGGATAATATATTCCGCTTGAGCAGCAGTTCTTTTGGCATCTCGATTTTTTTCAGGCCTCAGCTGCTGCTTGTTTTCCCTCTGCTCTTTGCCTCACCTTAGCAATCTTCACCATCTGTGCTTGTGCTTGAGCTTGGGCTCTCATTTGCTCCACTTTTGCCCGAAAAATGTGACAAGATGCAACTATTACCAATACTTTTATGATCTTTGTAACCATTCCGATTAAGAGAAGACTAGAATCAGATGCTGTAAATTTCGAGGTTCACTCTTATGATTTCCAAGTATGTGATGACGAAAGGGATTTTGAATACCTCGATTCTCCGCATTTCAGCTTCTAGTTTTGCTCTCTGCTGACTCTCCCATGCTTGTATTTTGATCTCTTCACGCTTATACCTGATAAATTGAAATCTGCCATCAGTAAAAGTAAGTTGATGGGAACTAGTAGTTTAAGAGCATACAGCATATTGGTACCTTGCGGTATGACTTTTCGGCCATGCAGTGGCTTGCTTTTCATATTTGATTCGTTCAAGATCCTCTATGTCAGTGGTTTCCACAGAAGATGAGTTTTTTCCCTTCTCGTCTTTACTTGCCCAAGAAGCAAAATTCATCTTCCCAAGCTGGACCCCGAGGGCTACAATCTCTCTTCTTGTCTTGAGCTTCATTTCTTGCTCTAACAATTCTTTCTTTCGATTATCAACGGGATTATCTGGAGTGTGACTCATCGGTTCCCCTTTACGGGGAGTAGAGGGGGCTGAAAATACCGGAGTTCGGAGCGGGGTTGTTGGCCCTACAGGTGTAGAAGACCTTGATAGCTCTTGACTTGTAGCAGAGGTCATCTCAGTTCCCATATCTCTCATACAAACCGATCGTATAGCAGACAAAACTACAAGCCCAAATCTAAAGGTATTGAATTAAGATTAAGCAAAACAACTGCGATTAACATGTCATGTACTAACGAAAATTGAAAACGTTTCGAGTCATTTATGTGGGTAACAAGAAAACAAAATAGCATTCATTGCATCTATTGTTCGAGTAAAATGGCAAACAAACTCTACAGAGTCCTCTGCCTCTGCCCCATCCCCTACACCCTACATAAGAAACCATTGTATGCACATGTAATTATAATGTCGGTAAACTCGAACATTTTGGTGTTCTTAATCACATTGTAAGCAAGTATTCAATTTGATGATCAAACAATAGTTCTTTATCGTAGGCCAGGAAACACACTACATACATCTTGTAGCAGCAAATATGTTACCTGTTGCATCTTTTGCTGACTTTTTCGTACAAAACGAAATTGATTCCGAACTTTGAGCTCCATAAGGAATCAAAGAGAACTTCTCGAATTGCATCTGCACGGCAGGATGACAGAAATCTACTGCCTTAGCTTCAGCTACTTGATTAGCAAGCAATCTATGATCACGGTTTGCAGATTCCGGAGCAACTCTCACCATATCGGTAATTGGAAAGAGTTTAGCTTTGTTTTGAAAGACATTATTCTTAGCATTAATAGCTTGCTCGTTTTGCTTTTTCATTATCCATTTCTCGGCATCGTTCAACTTAGACGACATAGGTCTCGAGCACGACCTTGTTAGTGAAGCATGTACTGCTCGCTCCCCTTTATGAAACTCGAAGCTCGACGAACTAGCGATACTATCGGATTCGATATTTTCGTATTCAAATGTTCTCATTGGGTGAATCGGTTTTGAATTACCATTATCACTCTTGGAGAATTCCTGCAATTTAGCACAGCTTACGTCAATGCTCTCCCTTGGGAATGACTCCTTTGATTCGCTAGAAATTTTATCATTTATGCTGGAATCCGTTGACTCATTGGATACTTTAACTGCAATTTTATTGAAAATATTGGAACAGCATGCAAGTTTAGAAAAATCAATGAAAAAAATTACCTATAAGAACTTCAAAAAGAGCAGATTTCCACCCAGATTTCCAGTATATGAGATTAAATAATGAAGGAAAATAGAGGAAAAAACAAACCTTCATCGAAGTCTCCATTTTGAGAGGCCAAGAGAATGTTAACAAACCTTCCATCCATTGTGATCTCGCCACATCATCTCCCTGAGAGGTCCACCTGATGTGGCCGTTTCTCTTCTAAAGTTTCAAACTTTGAACTCAAAGATCAGTTTTTTTTTTAATTTGAACAAAATACAAAGGAATATCATTTTGCTCTGTATAGTAACTTGCACGGCCTGCTGAAAACAGTAATTGAGTCACTATCAATAGTTCAGAAAAAAAGAAGAAGACAAATCCCTGTAATATAAACAGTTCCCCCCCTACACTGATTTATCTACTAAAGGAAGAAGCAAAAGATAACAACAGACTGCTGCATAAAGAAAGTAGAAAGAACTACAGGGAAAATGATAGAGAGCAGTTGGAATTTTTAAAAATATGTATTTGCAACGTGGAAATACTTTTTAAGATAATACAATTTAATATTAGATTAAACGACCTCGTTTTCTACGTAACGCAACATCCCCGAGAATTTGAAACGTTTCAACAATCTATCACGGATAGTATTTAATAAACCTCACGCCCTACAAAATGCTAGGTATATACGTTTTCGGCCCACATACCAAGTGTTTATATACATGTTCGAGGAATATTTTCAGATAGTTAATATGAAAATTTTCGTAATTTATAAGATTAAAGACATAATATTGTAACTTATCTTTCAATTGAGGGTAATATCGACAAATACGAGACATTGTAAGAAGGCTAAAAAACGAGTTCAAAATGGTTCTAAACCATGGGTTTGTGCATGAAGAAGAGGCTAACATGGCTTGCATGTTCGGGGAATAATTTTAAGAAGTTAATCTGAAAATTTTTGTAATTGATAACATTAGAGGCATATTATTGGTACTTATGTTTCAATTGAGGCTAGTATCGGCACATACGAGACATTCTAAGCGGTGTAAAAATCGCGTTACCACTGGGTTCGAAACCAAAAGAAGTTGAAAACCAACAAATGTATTTTGTTAATTGCAAAAGTAGTAAAATGAAAAAACATAATTAATTGATACGAGGGCGTGATCGATTATGACATTTGTTCCTCATGTGTATGAGATTCCTATAAATAGTGCATAGCTTCGCTTGTCATGTTCTTTCTTGATGTTCAACCAAATCATCGTCACTATAAATTCGCGTTGATCGTGAACGACCCTTTTTCACGTCATAGTGTAAAATCTGATGGTATTTTACGTTCATCATCAATTTTATCCTGACCTCTTTCATTTCCAATGTGAGGAAACTCGTATTGATAAACATTGAATATAGTTTCAAGTAAGTATATTGGATCAATGAATTGCATGTAGTGAATTCTTACAGAAGAACAAACAACAATGATGTGCACACACGGGTATTTGAATGTTTGGAATACTCCGCAATCACATGTTTTTTCTCGTAGATTAACCATGCATGTGTTGTGTTGTATACCTTCCAATGCCATCGAATATTCCAAAATGCGAAATTTATTTTGTTCGCGGGATACACATATCGCATTCATTGCATTTGAATGTTGCATAAAGGTTTGTAATTTTGTGTGGAGCTTTAAGTGGATTGTGTGACCACCTGCCATCTTGTTTTTCCAAAGTTGTAAATAGGGTTGTCAATCGATAATATATCGCTTTGACAACGAAAGTGATAGGCAAATTTCACACTCACTTTAGTGATAAATTGATCGCCTCAGTCAAGTTCGTTGTCATCTGATCATATTGCCTACCCCCATCAAATGATCAAAACCATATTTTAGCAAGATAGTTATAGCCTTGTGCATTCTTGTCTCTCAGGTCTTAAAGCAACTCCTTAAGCTC